GCCAGACTCAAAGGAGAAGCCAGTTGGGCTCCCTTTCAACTTTCCAACTAGAATCTCCCTTGGGTACAATCTCTTTGCCTATTTGACTCCTGATTTTGTTAGGTACACCCTAGGCCACATGTTAGGTACTTGCCAGGACAATATGGTAGTGTTTGCTATGATTGCCCTGGCCCGACAGCAGCAGCAGGTGCAGTGTGACTGCTTCAAGGTGTCTCCCACCTCACTCTCCATGGTCAGTTGGGAAAGAGAACACTTTTAAGGCACCAGTGCACGGTGCAGCCTCTGAGTCTGTTAAGTTCAACCTCTTTTCTGGTGTCAGATTTTTCTGTACCAAATCTTATTTTCTGTCTGTGTTTACCCTCCTTCTGTAGTGAACCAGCACTGCTACAGCTGCCAATGCTGTAATCAGCTCGGCTCCAGTGTACTCTTTCTTTTTTGTATAATGTAAACAAAATTTTGATTCTCTAAGATACTCTGTCAAATATTGAATTTTCATGAAATCCCTCTTTCACCTACCTATCAAGGAGCATTACTCCTGCTACTTGAATCCTAAGCCATGGAACAAGTAGAAATACAGCCTTCCTCTAAATCGCCAGCATAGCTTCAAGAGCAAAGAAAAATAAGGTCTGTGATCACAGCCTAAAAACTTTGCCTGTTGCAAGAACTTTGTAGAAAGTTCTGGGTTTCGTCCTTAAAATTCCTGCAAATTTTATATCTTACTGGATAATATACAGTTCTTCAAATATAAAATTGCTACCACTAAGTGAGTTATCCCTCTAGGAAAAAGTACAATGTAGTACTTACTCTGTGGCTCTAATACAGATATAGCCAGATGCCCTCAAAATTATCCTGGTTTCATAGAAGATACCCAAAGATATGCTCTTCAATACATATGTTCTTTCACTGAAAATGGAGATCAAGTCACTGATTATGCATTTGACTGACTTTTCATGGACTTTTAGTAGAGAACTACATTCTTATCCATTTTGACAAAAAAAAAAGCCTTACGTTAATATCAAGTACTTTTTGTACGCTCATTTTATATTTACTGGATTATATAATAAACTAAATCTCATGAAATTATAGTGGAAATTAATAGCAAAATATCTTTTGATATATTTATACTCATATAAAAATTTTAAGCATACTATGTAGATATAGTTTAACTTACATAATTACAAAAACAATTCATATAGATGCTTTTACTAGTAGCCGTTTGAAAAATTAACAGGTAGGAAATGGGCTATTTCAGTTTTAGTCTATAGTAAGCTTGTTATTCCTTTAGGATAAAGATTTATACATTGCTATAGTTATATCAATAGACAGCAGCATGTACTAGTGGAGGAATATGTTAGTTTATAACTTAAATCATGCCAGACCAACTCATTTATTCACCTGTGAGCTCACAAGTTATTAGCCTCATGGAGATTCTATCGTTTCATCAACAAATGAGGCTTAAAAATACATGAGGTGATATTATGGTCATTGTAAACATAAATATATGCATATACATATATATATATATGTATATGCATATATACATACACATATAAATATAAATATACATCTGCATATATATTTAGATGCACACTGAAGCTTTTAGGAGTTAAAATACATGAGGTTATAAAGTTGCCTTAAAACACTCACAAGGAAAAGGTGGAAAAATCGTAGAAATATAGAGTAAGTCGGTGGTAGTTAAACTAGGTTAAGATTACAGAGCAGTTTGTTTTACTCTCTACTTTTATGTGAGTATGAAAATTTTCCTTTGCCTGGAGTTGGGGCACATGCCTATAATTCCAGTGGCTTTGGAGGCTGAGGCAGGATTATTATGAGTTAAAAGCCAGCCTTAGTAACTTAGCAAGGCCATAAGCAACTTGGTGAGACCCTGACTCAAAATAAACCATTTTAAAAAGGGCTGGGATGTGACTTGGTGGTTAAGTGCCCCTATATTCAACCCCCAGTACAAAAAAAATCTAATAAAAGGTAAAAACCATCTTACAGATGGAGGTTTATAAAGTCCCTGACAAGTAGTAATCACTATTAACCATCTCATAGAGGGCTTTTAAAAATGTAATAACATAGCTATCTCTAGAAACTAATTTAATGACCCTGATCCATCTTCAACCATAGAGACCCATGGAAAACTGACCATGAATGTCTAGGCAAGGCTACAGATGCTTTTAAGCCGACAGCAGCATCTCCCATCTCTACAAAAACCTGGGGAAAGTTCTCTAGGGCTCTGCATGATTTTACACCATTGTTTATATTGTGTTGGCTGAAAGCAACACAGCTGTATGTCGAAGGAACCCACTCATACATCAGTAACATACTTTTATAGCCATTCTTAGGCTCAATTTTTGCATTTTGTACCATTCATAAGGAATTAAAATTAATGCCCCTGCCTCTCCCTCAAGCATGTTGGGGAATCTTTATTCTCAACATTACTTGAGATTGGGTAGGCCATGTTAAGTCTTTATATTATCTTAAAGTCAACCTGCTTAAGTCAACCTTGATCCAAAGATGCCTTTTTAAGTTAAAACCAAGAAAAAAATTTAAAACCTAGATTGCATTGATTTTAAAATGTTACCTATATTCTACTAGCACCTGATTTTGGAAATCGGTCACTATTACTGAAGACTCTCGTTTTCCTGGACTGAATTTTTATATCGTTGAGTATCAGAATCAAAGTCAAAAGCTTTAAATAAACTGTCTCTCTTTAACCTAGTAAGACAGTCTTTGCTCATAAGGCATTTCTACATATTTAGGAGGGGGTATCTATTCATATTTCTCAGGCCTTATACCATCACTTAATTTCAGATCACCTTTAACTATTGTAAAAGCTTCCTAACTTATAGGTTTCTTTAACTGATTATTTTGGGACTTATGAATTTATAAGATAAAAATGTCCTCAAATGTTCTTTTAAATAATTTCTAATAGAAAAATATGAATTGCCATATTTTTATTTTCAGTAAGATATAGCTCTCATTCTCAGAATTAGCATGTTTATTTTCCAGCATAGCCAATCCAATAAATTCAGCCATCTTTAGAACAGTACAGATTACTATGCCTAAATGAGCTATGTTCCAATTTTACATATTAAGGGATAGCTTTTATGTGACAATATTAATTATCAATATTAATTGTACTTGTCATACTGTAAAATCACTTGCTTAAGTGTCCATTTTCTTACCTTACCATTTCTTGTCTTTTTTCTTCAAAAAAATTTAATCATAAAATAGTTTCAATTCTCTTCTCTCCGTAGTACCTGGTAGATAGATGTTAGGTGCTTAACAAATATCATTGGTTGGGAACATTAATACACACTCATGCCAGGTATACATGCAAAAATATATAGCCATGGGCTTAGTAGTTCTAGAGTTTGTTTTCAACCATCTTATTTTCTTTGCAACTCTTTAGTGAGAAATGTTTAATTCTAGGAAATGTTACTACTATGCTTTTGTTTGTACGTTATGAAAAATAAATGGTACCTGGCACTGTGAGAAGCACAAAAGTAATAAAATACACAGTCCTTAGCCTTAAGTTGCTTAAAAACTAGAAAGAAAGATAAGATATAATGGCCAGTCCTAGGTAAAACTGAAAAGTCATGGCAGTTCCAAAGTCTTATCCTTTGCTCATGTTATTAAGTTGTGAACAGGTAATTGTGTACTACTTTTTGTTTATCAAACTAGTTCCACTATTACTTTTCCAGGTAGCCCAGTTGGTATTGTCTAAGGCCTGAAATGGTTTTTCTGTCCCCAAGAATGAGTTGATTTTGGCTTCTCCTTGAAAGTAGATTTGGAAGTTACAAAGGGATAAAGTCACAGTCCAAGTTCAGGCTGCTATAATAGAACCCCATACACTAGACTGTTTAAACAACAAACCTGTATCTCACAGTTCTTGAAAACTAGAAGCCCAAGGTCATGGTCAAATTTGCTAAGAAAGTATGGAATTTGTAACAATCCTAATTTGCTAAGTGCTAGAATGGTCAAATTCTGGTAAGGGCCCTTCTTCTGGCTCAGAAATGGCTCTCTACTGGTGTAGAAGAAAGAAAGGCAGTTTTTTTCATATCTCTAGGAAATTAATCCCATTCATGTTGACTTCAACATCATAACTTAATTACCTCCATAAGACCCCACCTCCACATTTCATTACAGTGCACATTAGGTTTTGACATATAGATTTGAGGACACAAATATTCAGTCCCTGGCAGTCACTAAGCCCAAGCTGCACACTATTAAACAACAAGGTCCATTCAGTGACTGAGTTTAGGGATGAAAGAAGGAAAAAACTTACTGTGTCAGAAAGTACTAATTGATGCAAAAAGTTCTTGGAAACTCCCTTATTAAAAATCATCATACGTTGTCAGAGAGATTTATATTTTAATAAATAAAATGTTTAATGTTTTTATACAAGGATTGTTACATATTCCATATTTTCTTAGCAAAAATTAGGAGATAAAGGTTGAGCATCCCTAATCTGAAAATCTTAAATCTCCAGTGCTCTAAAACCCAAAACTTCATGAGCACCGACATGATACCACAAGTGGAAAATTCCATGACTGATGTCTTATGATAAGTTTCAGTCAGAGCACAAGCAAACCAAGTGTATTAAATTACCCTCAGGCTATGTAGATAAGGTATATATGAAATAAATGAATTTTGTGTTTCAACTTGGGTCTCATCCCCCAATATATCTCTTTAAATATATGCAAATATTCCAAAATCTTAAATCTGAAACACTATGGACCCAAGCATTTTCAGATAAGGAATACTTAACCTGTAATAATAAATCCAACATCATCAGTGATTTGTTACTGTTCCTTCTTCTTCTCCTTTTCTTTCTCCTTCTCCTTCTCCTTCTTATTTTCTAATAGATAAAGAGCAGACTTAACTTTTTTCTCAGAATTAAGATGCACAAATGAAAGAAGCCCTACTCATTTTTGTGCTATAAATGAATCATATTCTTCAATTTATGATTTTTCTCTTACCTTTTTTTAAAGGAATTTAGAGCAAAGTCAAGAGAATGGGACAAGCAAGAGATATTGTATCAGACTCATCTGGTTTCTTTAGATGCTCAACAAAAATTATTATCTGAGAAGTGTAATCAATTTCAGGTAAATTATCTAAATTAGAAGATATTTGAGACTAAATATTGGTACCTGTGCCACTCAGCATGTTATCTATTTACATATAGAACCACAGAGATATAACCAGATTAAATCTAATGGTGACTATAGCAACAGTACATGAACTAGTTATAATGGTGAGTTTAGTCTACATGTCTGAAAGAATGATGCTAATAAAAATTCCATTGTTATTATATCATAAAATGGCATATCTCAAATGCATAAGGGCAGGTATTTAAGAGTATCTAAGACTTTGATTTGTTTAGCATTTCCCTAGATACATGTAAGGATGAGCATCTCTTCATTTATATCATAGGTTTTAAAATTTTCTCTTCTGGAATACCTATTCTTGCGTGGTTCATTTTTTTAATGTTGCCTTTTCCTTATCAATATGTGTAGAATTTTATATATTAGAGATCATTAAACTTTGTTATAGGCATTGATAATCTTATTCTATTATCCCATTTTTGTTTTATTTACTGTTTTTCTTGCTTATTAAGAGTTCTCTACCTCTAGCTCCTTTTCTACTCTACAATTTTGTCTTAAGTTTATACAAATATACTTTCTCTGTATACCATCTGAAATTAAGATTTTAGAACAACCTTAAATACTGCATTATACAAGCCATGCATCACTGTCTAGTAATGTATTTACAGATATTTTACTAGTTCTTCTCTTTCACTCTTTAACTTTATGTAAACTTAAATATAATATTCTTTACTTAATTTACTCAGTTTTTATATTTTTCAGAAACAGGCACAAAATTACCAAACTCAACTAAATGGTAAAAAACAGAGCATAGAAGGCAGCAGCTCTGAAATTCCTAACTTGTTATGTGAATCAGATACCAGTTGTGAAACCACTGAAAGAGATGAATTCATTATTGAAAAATTAAAATCAGCTGTGAGTGAAATAGCATTAAGCAGGAATAAATTACAAGATGAAAATCAGAAGCTCTTACAAGAACTGAAAATGTACCAAAGACAGTGCCAGGTGAAGGTTTATTTTTTCATTTTCCAACTGAAATTGCCTTTGAATTGTATACATGTTGATTGAACAGGAATAGGCTCTAGAAACCTAGTTTTCTATTACATATGAAATTCAATTAATATTTCTTTCTAGTAATTAATTATTACTTGATGAGTAATCCTAGAGGTGCCTTACCCCATTGGAGTGTACTTTGGTTCTGACAAGAATGTATTACCAGTGCATATAACAGTGTCACTTAAAGACCTCTGTGCCTAAAAATCATGGCCTATTAGTTACCTACCATCCTCTGTCCTCATTATTTTCTCTGAACCTGTGCCTCTTTAATTAACATGAATCCTGAATGAGAAACATGGGAGATCATGAAAGATTAAATGATTTGGTAACCTCAGTGTGAGACATGGGGTTAGTCCTTGAGATTTATCACTGGTGACTTGAAGTATTAGTCAACTTTCTGTCACTATGCCAAAATATCTGAGACAATCAACTTATAAAGAGACAAGGTTTATTTTGGCTCATAGTTTTGGAGGTTCCAGTCCATAATTGGTTGACCCTCACTTTGGGCCTGTGGTTAGGTGGAACATAATGGTAGGACTGCATGGTAGAGCAAAACCACTCATTTCATGGCCAGGGAGCAAAAGAGAGAATGAGGAAAGGGTTGGGTCCCACAATACCCTTCCAGGGCATACCTCCTATGACTTTAAAGTCTCTCACAGGCACCACCTTTTAAAGGTTTAACCACCTCCCAATAGTGCTCCCAGGTGAGGGCCAACCAATTTTGGACTGGAACCTCCAAAACTAAGAGCCAAAATAAACCTTGTCCTTTATAAGTTGATTGTCTCAGGTATTTTGTTACAGTGACAGATAGCTGAGGGACCAAACCTGTATGTGGGACTTTAAACACCCAAACTATCGGACCTTATCATAACCACTTACCAAAGAAGTAACTTCCGAGCCCTATTTTGTATTTTATTAGATGTGATTGATGATTTATTTATTCAAGCATTTTTTCTTAATCCAACAATCTTGAACCTTTTCTTCTTCTTGTAATTGTTATTAAATAGCATTCATCAAAATTGGTTATTACTGAGTTTCTTACTAAATGTGCATTTCTTATTCACAAATATCCAGCTAGTGAAACATTTTATGTTTTTTTTTTCCTCTCACTGTAAACATTCAGCTGCTTTTTACCATTTCCTCCATGCAATTAATTGGTCTACCTCTATGCTCCTGTTTATTCCTTCCCATCCTAAAATACACTTTTTGAAGTCACTATCCGAGCAAACTACATCTTCCCTAAGATATTGCATGCCTGTATTTTCTGCCACTTCAAATCCCAGAATCATTTTATAGTTGTGGGCCAACTGCTCATCCCTCTACCTGCCACATTGTATGTGGGGTCATATGTTGCATTAGTCCTGTGACTTCTTTGTCTGCCAGCCTCTGCTCTTCTCCTGTGCTCCTCTTTCCCCACGTTTGGGAGGGGATGGAAACACAAGGCTTCTTTTAGTGATATGTTCCCCATCTCAAACCCAGCATTATTTGAGATGGGCCTTAAACTTGTTTTACAAAATTTATATTTCACCAAATGGGAATGATTAGAGGTAAATAATACTACAACCAGAATATGTATTTGGAAAGAAATTTATCTTCTCTTTTGCAAAACTGTCGTGACAGAATATTCAACATCTTACATATAAATGCAAAAAGACAACCATTTCAATTTGAATTATTATCATTTATTATATATCAAGTTCTCTTTAGTTTACAACACATTTAAATGTCAGATACATCTGAATGGTCACATAAATCACATCTCCTCTTTTTTTCTACAACCTTGAAATGTGTCAAAATACATATTAATTCAATTGTGTATATTTATTTGCTGTGCTACACAATATTTATGTTTGTTAACATGTAGTACTTCTCATTGGAGGTTAATGACAAAAAAATAAATTTTCTGCATTTATCAAATGTCCATGCCAAAACAGTCAATCTTTTTTTTGTTTGCTTGTTAATAGTTAATGTGTCATTAAGATATGAAAACAACACTGTCCAAAAAAAGTATAATGCAAGCCACAAATATAATTTTAAATTTTACTATCAGTCACATTAAGGAAGTAAAGAAAAATAAGTAAAATTAATATAATAGTGATATACATTATTCATTCCAATATATAGATCCAAACTGTTATTTTTCAACATGTAATCAACATATAAAAATTATTAATGATATTTTGACATTTTTCATGTATTCTTTCAAATCTGGTGTATACTTTATACTTACAACTTATTTAAATTTAGTTGCTCAATATTCATTGGAAATATCTGACATCTAAATTTCATAAAATTTTACAGTTAGAAAGATTTACAGCTGGGAATGGTGGTGCATGCTTGTAATCCCAGCTACTCAGGAGGTTGAGGCAGGAGGATTGTAAGTTTGAGGCCAGCCTCAGCAACTTAGCAAGATGTGTCTCAAAAAATAAAAATGTCTGGGGATGTAGCTAGTGGCAAAGCACTTCTGGGTTCAATCACAGCACCAAAAAAAAAAAAAATAGATTTACATACTTTAGTTGTTGCAAGCTAAGTTGAAGTATTCCAATAACTGAATCAAGTACCAAGCAATAATTTTCAAAAATAAAAAGGCCTGGGGTTATAGCTCAGTGGTAAAGTGCCTCTGTGTTCAATCCCTACAGCACCAACAATGACAAAAAAGCAAACAAATAAATTGTGTGTGTGTGTGTGTATATATTTGTGTGTATATGAATAAATATAATTGTAGATGGACACAGAAACTTTATTTTTATGCGGTGCTGAGGATCAAACCCAGTGCCTCACAGTGCTACCACAATCCCAACCCCCTAAATGTACCAATATTGACAAATCCTTCAAATTTTTCTTATGCTTTCACAGTCAATTTACATAATATAATCCATTATAATCAAAATTTCTTGAATATTCATTCATCTGTCAAATCATTATTATCAATTTGTATTACAAAAAGTTTTAATTTCAACTTATACATTATTGTACCTGTATATTTAAGTCATCAAGGAGTTTTGCCCTCCTCAGTGATGCCTTCATCATAAATATTATTTTCTAAACATGATAACTCGTAGATATTATATACTACTAACAAGAAACAAATACTCTTTTATGATGACATTTCAGAGTTTAAGCTAACTATGGCCTGTGGTGACACTACATTTTATTGGCCTGGAATTAGAGCTATTCATGTACCTCTCTCCCCCAAGTAAAGTAAGCCCACTTTTTATACACAGTTTCCTATTTCCTGGTGGCAAATTTGTAAACCAGGGAGTCCAGATCATACCTTCTTCAACTGTATAGTAATAGGCGACACTGACAACAAATTGAATTGCTTGTTTACCACATAATCTGTTGTTTCACGTCTCTTTTCTTATTTTTCAAATTTTAGCCCCTTCTGAAAAATACCTATTGTTCAAAACAGACTTTTCCAAACAAGTCTCTTAAATCAGCATTTTGAATCTGTTTTTATGTTTATTTTCAATTCAACCAGTAATTTCTGGGGCTTACGTGTTGATTGCCATTAGACCCTTCACTGGACCCAAGCTTCTAGGACTCCTGGAAAACAGTGTATACTCGAGGTTTGGGGGAAAAAAATTGTCTGGGAACTCAGATGTGGTATACCACCTACATAATTATTCTTCCATACATTGTGAATTTTTGGATAAGAATTACTAAATAAGAAAATATGTCTATTAAAAGCCTGTACATTAATTTTCATAGCAGAATTATTCATTATATACAAAAGTAAGAACAACTCAAATATCCATCAAGTGATGAATATGATGTGTCCATATTATTGTGTATATTCACTGATATATTCTATAATATGTATGAACCTTGAAAACATGCTAAGTGAAAGCAGCCACAATCACAGAAGCCATATATTGAATGATACCATTTGTTTTCTCCTAAAGAATAGCCAAACACTTTTGCAGAAAAATTAATAGGCTATGATCATAAACCTGAAATAGGTATTCAACAATGCCTGGCTATCCTACTGTTGCTCCTTTCAAATGCTCCCATTTCCACTGTAAACCATTGCAAACCTTCACTCTGAGTCACTCCCACACCTAACCTCCACCTCCCTTCCACTGTCAGCACATCATGTCACCTTTGACTTCACAGAAAAAAAATAGAAGCCAACAGATAGCCAGTCTTAATCTCCCATATCCAAATGCATAAACCTGTTTATATTACATTTTCCTTCCTTTTTGTTACAAGAGAGGAAGGACTCTCCTTTGCTTCAGGCATTTCTTCTACTTGCCTGATGAGCTTTGGGGCTCATCCCACTACCTGCTCAGGAATTTAATACCACTCTTATTGCCCCACCTCTGCCTTTGTTCCTAACTGGATCCTTCCCAATAGCTTTTGCACTTTTGAAAGGCTCTCCCTTTAACAATATAAAATATTGGCCCCACAGGATTGCCGTTATTTCTGGTTACTGATTAGAAGTATGATTATTATTGTCTTTATCACTAGACAGTAAGCTCATGGAGGACAGTTTGTATCTGCATCCCAAGAGCAAATAATAAGAGCTCTATAAATATTTATTGAATAAATAAATGATGGAATGGAATTCTATAAGACCAAACAAAGGACTAAATATCAGTTTGTTTAAAAGTAGGCTGGTTTACATATGTTAAATATTTTTAAATATTTATATTATGATATAAAAATTAATATCGAGGACTGGATATGGAGAGTATACAGCCTACTCTCTAAAGATCAATTATGTTTCTTGTTTTGTTTTTGGTACTGGACATTGAACCCAGGGGTACTTTACCACTGAGCTACATCCCTAGTCCTTTCTATTTTTTTTTTTTTTTAATTTTGAGACAGGGTCTCACTAAATTGCTGAAGGTCTCACTAAGTTGCTGAGGCTGGCCTTGAACTTGGGATCCTCCTGCCTCAGTCTCCCGAGTAACTGGAATTACAGGAATGGAAGCACAATATGACCCATCTTTCCCACTCATTGTTTTTTTTTCCAAAAGAACTAAAATAGCATGTTATTTTAATACATACACACCAATGTTTATAGCAGAACAACCCATAAGAGCCAAGTTATGGAATCCATCAAAAGCAGAACAGATAAAGAAAATGTGATATATTTACACAATGTAGTTCTACTCATTGATAAAGTAAGAATGAAATTATGGCATTTGCTGGTAAATGGACAGAACTGGAGAACATCATGCTAAGAGAAATAAGCCAGACTCAAAAAGTAAAAGGTCAAATGTTTATTCTTCTACATAGAAGCTAGAGAGAAAAAAAGTATAAAAAAAGAGAATCTCGCAAAAATAGAAGGGAGATTGGTAGAGTAGAAAAAGGGAACCACTGGGGAAGAAGGAAGGGGGAGAAAGGGGAAAAACTGGGGAATTAAGTTGACCAAATTATGTTATGTGCATGTATGAATATATCACTAGTATTTTAATTTTATATATAACTATAATGCATCAATTATAAATAAATTAAAGGAAGATCAATAGACCAGAGGAAGAGGAGCAGGGGGAGAGAGGAGAGGAGGGAAAGAGAAAGTATTGAGGATTGAAATGGAACAATCTATTTTATGTATTTATGAGCATGTCAAAATTAACTCCACTATCATGTATAACTATAGTCCACCAGTAAAAAGTAGGCATCAAAAAATTTTATGTTTTTATTCAGGCCATGGAAGCAGGACTCTCAGAAGTGAAAAATGAGTTACAGTCACGTGATGATCTCTTGAGGATTATAGAAATGGAAAGATTGCAGTTACACAGAGAATTATTAAAAATAGGAGAATGCCAAAATGCTCAAGAAAATAAAAAAAGGTACAGTTTCAACATTTGATACTCTGATGAGAGAAACTATTTAAAACATGATGTTTGTATATTTTTAAGAGTTTTATATTTTCTAGTAAAATAATAAATTTATTTTTAATTAACATGCTATTTATTAGTAGATAGTATTAAATATTAAAACAAAAATAATGGCTATTTTATCTTTCAGTATTTACCCAGAAACATATATCATATTCTGATCTGTGGATGCATTTGTCACATTGAGTCAGAAATTTTCTTAGAACTTTTGTTCTTCAACATATCATAGCTGGGCATCATGGCATCCGCCTATAATCCCAGCAACGTGGGAGGCTTGAGGCAGGAGAATTGCAAGTTCAAAGTCAGCCTCAGCAATTTAGTGAGGCCCTAAGCAAGTTAGTGAGACCCTGTCTCAAAATAAAATAATTAAAATACACTGAATTTTAATTATTGTGATGTGGCTCAGTGGTTAAGTGACCCTGGGTTCAATCCAAGAAAAAAATATACATATTATAAAAACAATAGTACATAAGAGAACATATGGGGAGGGGTAAATATGATTACAGTGTGTTTATATACATGTGTGAATATGCTACAATAAAACCCATTACTCCATGTAATTAAAATGCACTAATTAAAAAAAAATAGTATAGAGCTGGTATTCAATTACATATTTGCAAAGAATAAGATTTTTCAAAATGTTTTTCATTCTATTGTCCATAAGCCTGATGTTAGCTTTCTCACTTGTAAATGTAGTAATTTTACCTCCTTACTCACCACCTTGTCAATTCCATTAAGGTTTTTTTTAAACAGAAATTTTTCCTCTTTGAAATCAAATATTGTGTACTCCATAACCACAAAGAAAATCGGACTGCTGAGGATTATTAAGTGTTTTTGCTTATGAATAGACAGTTTGAATGCTTGAATAGTTCATTGGCATAGAACTTTATTCCTCATGATCAAAAAGCTAACGCTAGGCCAGTGATAGGATTTTAAAGATTGAACAGCCAAATGGTAAGGGAAATTTTATTGAAATATAATTATTGTTTCAATTTCTTCAAAGTTGTGGGTTATGTTAGCACTTCTTTGAGGTCTATACTTAACAACTAATGGCAAATTAAGATCCCCCAAAGTGACCTATTGTATGCCTCACCAAGGGATGGCAGACTGCCTATTAGCCAGTCAGCATTATTGAGTGCTCTGTATACAAGCTATACATCATCATCCCTGATGACTAATAAATCTTTTGGCTATTTTTTATGTATAAGCTGCTGTTCCAGTGTGGTGAGTCAGTGAGAAATGTCTTCACACAACAAACAAATGTATGTACCCAGAAACATAAAAAAAAAAAAAAAATTGTAGAAAACACACCATTCAACGAGTGTCTACCTCTGGTTTTGTGAGGAATATTGTAGGCACTTTCTGTTCCACTCTTACAGGGCCAATGCTAAACTGTAAATGTTGCCTGCTTTCCTTCAAGACATAATTTGATCCAAAGTCTTGTACTTATGCACATATTTGGTCAGTACAAACTTTTGCTCTGCCTTGCCATCCTTCATGTCATTTGGTATTTATTTTGGTCTTCAAGCCATATCTTTCTCATTTGGAGGGCATCCCTCAGTTGTAGTATTCTGAGATTTGATGAAATAGTATATATGTAAATTTCCAGTTTCCATTGTCCTTTAGACTTCTCAGTCTCCATCCTTCCTACTGCAAGTTTTTGAATCCTTCTAGTTTATTCTCATATAAATGTTGTTCTGTTTTGTTGTTTTGGTTTCTTATTTGGACTTTGTTTCCTTTTTGTGTCTGTATTAAGGTGAAGCAGCCCAGATTACTGAGAGCAGATGCACATTAGCTTTATATAAATAGTACAGTAATGTCTTCATTTCTTTTTCAAAACCTTAGTCAATAATGCTGATTTTCATTAGCTTTTCCTTTTCTTTTCTTAGATGTAGAAGCACCTTGTATGGATATATTTTGAATTCTTAAAATAATTCAAACATCCTTTTCCCACATCCTTTTTTATATATTCATATTATCATCTTATATTAGCATAATTATTGTTTTTTATCACCTTTCTAATTTGGAGTTTGACATTTTTTCCCCTCACTCAATGAACTTTGCAAGTTTACCATGAGGATTCAGTTCAGCATTACTCCCCCTGAAATCACATAGGAAGAACTGAAAAATAGGAAATTTCATTTTTCACTTTTTACAAATCATACCAAATAAGAAAATTTTAAAACTAATCCTGAAATGATCTTTTAGAAGAACATCAGACAAAATGAAAAATGCTCACAAAATATTACTAAGTGTAAAATAAAGAAATTGAAAATCAATGTGTACAGTGTATTTTAATTATAGGGGAAACGTATATTATTTATTCACACATATGCGTAAGGAAAAAGGCAATATACACAAAAATGTTAGCAACAGTTTTTCTTGGATGATAACTTTCTGTGATATTATGAAATATGCTCTGTTTTCTACACTGTGTGGAATGAATACACATGCACACACACGCACGCACGCACACACACATACTCAATAATCAGAAAGAATTGATCTATACTTCAAGAATATCACTAATAATTTTTACCTTTTGAGATCCTTTATTTTTAATCTTTGAATTAGTTATTTCTACATCATTACTCAGATTTTGGTTTCTTGTTTTATTTGTGTGGTTTGTGTTTTTTGATGTGTGGAACCTTTCTAAAAACTCTGGGCAATATAAAATTTTACTTACAAATGGGTGTATTCCTCAAACACCAGACTCCACAGGCATAATCAAGCCTGACTTCTAAAAGAACGCTGATGTTTTTGCCACCTGGTATCTTTATTTTTTAATTTTTTTTTTACTGATTTTTATCTTATAAACCTGCCTTACATGGAAGTGATCGTTATTTGCCTATACTTCTCCAACCTTCTTTTGGGGTATTATGCTTTTTATACTAGTCTCTGTTTCTCCTCTCCAGTATTAATACATGGTTACAATTCCATTTTATAAATGAGTCATCAAAGGGTAGTTGCCTTTTATCTGACCAGACTGCCATATGTAATCATTTTTAAGCCTATTTATGGAATAGTTGTTTCCTTCATACTACTCATGATATAGATGCTCCCTGCAATGCATTAGCAAGTTGGGTTGTTTCCTTTTGGGGGCATGGGTTTCTGGGCTGTTTTATCGCAGGAAGCAGGCTTTTCTTCTTATCCAAAAATCATATCTACCTATGCAATTCCAGTATTCTGGCAATTCTAATGAATAATTGAAATTTCATACTAATTACTACACTTGTTCCCCATTAAAACTATTTGTACTCAGTTAAAGATGTAAATACTTATGGGATCTGAATGTATTAGCACTTGCAATTTATATAACTAGAAATGTTTCCAACAAAGTAATGATCTATCTATCTATGCAGCCTACAATGGTCTAAATTAATAATATAATCATAACAATTTATTAAGTTGAGCTTAATTTTTTTGAGGGGAGGTCTAGGGATTGGATCCAAGCATGCTTTACTACTGAGCTACATCTCCCAACCCTTTTTATTTTTTATTTTTGAGACAGGGCGTTGCTAAATTGCTGAAGCTGGCCTTGGACTTGCAATCCTCCTGTCTCAGCTGCTTGATTCATGGGAGTAAAGGCATCTGCCTCCATGCTCGGCCAGTTAAGCTTAATTTTAGCCTATTATTTTTAATTTGTAGACTTGAACCATCTTATTCACCTTCTACTAAAGAACCAGAAAGGAAAAGGAAAGAGATGTTTCCAGTGGTCCCAGAACAATCAAATCATGAAAAAGAATTAACTAAGGTATGGAAACTAATGAGCTCTATTCTTCCAGGAAGAAGTCTTTGAATATGAACAGTTAAAACAACAATAACAACTTCCTTCTAACGCCTTTCTTTTTTCTTCTGTATTTTTTCCTAATTAAAAATCTGTCAATCTGATAATTCTGACATTGTTCTGTATGTACACAAACTTTGGATTGTCACTCTGCCAGTGGGAGATTGCCCATGAAATATGGAGGACTAGTGGCTCAGTGAGACATGGTTTATAGCAAGAAGGTTGGTAGCACAGACCCTGGGGCTTGGCCATGTGTACAAGCCTTGGAAGGTTGCCCATGCACACTGCTCAAGATCCTCATTTCTAGAATGGGAATGATCTTTACCTACATCATAAGGAGATGTACGTGATGGGGACAGAAAAAGCCAATAACAACTACTACTTATTGCCCTTACTATGTGCCAGCAACTGTTCTGAGGATTTAACAAATCCTAATTCATTTATTCTTCACATCCATCTTATATGATAGGTCCTAAAATTATCTCCTTTGTACATGTGAGGAAACTAAGAACAGAGAAGTAACTTTCCCAAACTTTACACAACTAATCAGTAGGTGAGGCTCAATTTGAATCTAGTCAACCTGCATCCAGACTCCATACTCTTACCTTAAGTTAAAATCTTTGAGATAATGCCTGTGAAGTGCAAAGAACAAGGGCCTAGCTAAGAGTAAGCACCTAGTAAATATTGGCTGTTAGTATTTTGGGTGACACCACATTTTCCATTGAGTGCCTGATGTGTGTCAAGCACTCTTCCACAAAATGAGGAAGGCCTGGGCATTGTTCTTAAAGAGTCGTCTGTCATTCTCTAGTCTCCTACAAAAAGCATGTTCTTCTCTTCTGTTTCTAGTAAGATTTAGTAGTGTCTTTCTTTCCATGAATTCATCATAGCTGCTATTCATTTCTCTTGTCTTTAGGTTTGAGGATCAGACAGAATATACAATACTATAAAATCTAAACAACTGTTAAAAGTTAAACAAATGTTAGCATGGCTTATAACTACCATCTAGTGCCCTACACATGGCTTGACACATAGTAAATGAAAATAAACATTTAGAGAATGAATTAATTAAGACTAAGTTATCCTGTAAATGCATAAAGCCATAAATTCAGTTGCAGTTTGTGTAAAGTCAACATTTTCTGAGTATCTAGTAGGACTATAACTATTCTGTTAATTTCCATAGAAAATAAAATTATGTGAAAGATCTTGTATGACAGAGTTGACTATCAGAGAACAAATATAAGTTCAGTGTAGGAAAAGTTACAAATTAATGATCATTTCTCTTTTTTGTTAAAACATTTGTTAGTTGTCAATGAATCTTTATTTTTTATTTATTTATATGTGGTGCTGAGAATTGAACCCAATGCCTCACACATGCTAGGCAAGCACTCTGTTCCTGAGCCACAACCCTAGCCCAAAACTTAATGATCATTTCTGTTATATTTTTCATATGTAATGACATATAATCCCATGAAAATGATTTTGTTTATTTTAAGAATATAACTTTAGGAAACTGTTCTTCACTGATGTGTCTCTAGTTAATGCATTATGATAAAAAATTGATTAAAGCCTTGTATAGATATACTCTTCTTAGCATTATAGATTATTTGGTAGTAATGAAATTTTCAATAATATGAAGAACCTACTGATTTCACACAATTTTGACATGGAGGAAGAGAATATAAGGCTCAGGTCTCTATGAGCTCTTGGAGACCAATAGATAGTTCAATACTATGCTGAAAAGATAAAATGAATTGTATATAAATAGCTATAGCTTCCAGTAAGTGTTTGTGGAGAGCATTTTCATTCTCTTGCAATAAAACCAACAAGAGCCATGTATTATGAATCCTGCAAGTGTTTTCTTTTTCCAATACAACACTATTTTTAGCCATTTGTTTTGTAATAAAATTCACATTTTTAATAAACCAAAAGTCGTTTGAAGCTCAGGTAAATTAATCTTATTTATAAGGAAGCTTTGCAGTATTGCATGTTGTTTTAATATCTAAACATTGTAAAAATAATAAAAAGTGTTCACTGCTTTTTCATAATAATGTGTTAATTTTTTTCCATTTTCAAAGTTCCATTTTAAGGAGAACATGTTAAACTGTACCACAGGAATGCACTCAGCAAAATCCAAATGGGGACAAACACCAGAATAATGCTGTTGTTTTATCAAATAAACTATAAGGGAAGAAAACTGAAGACAGAAGAAATGAAAGGAGATTTGTTACATTGTCCTGGGGTTAGCATGTTTGTACTCCAGTCTCCTACTCTCCTCACTTGCTTTCAGGAGCTGTATGAATTAGGCCCAGTCAGTTTTCTTCCCTTTCAGTCTTTTTTTCTTTACCTTCTGTTAAATGTTATGGTTAAGGCCATGTGATTTCTAAGGTCATGTCCAACTTTGAAACTCTAAAAATGTTATTAATAAGAATGGAATCTGACAAGTGAGGTGTTTTCATCAGCTTTTTCACTGCTGAGACTAAAAGACTTGACAAGAGCAATTTTAGAAGAGGAAAAATTTATTTGGGGGCTTAAGGCTTCAGAGGTCTCAGTCCCTAGACAGCTGCCTCTTTTCCTCAGGGTTCCAGATGAGGCAGATCATCCTGGTGGAATGGTGTGGTGGAGGGAAGTGGATCAAGACATGAAGATTAGGAAGCAGAGAGATACAAAATGTATACCCCCAAGACACACACCCCTAATGACCCACCTCTTCCAGCCACACCCCCTGCCTGCCTTCAGTCACCACTCACTTAATCCCTTTCAGGGGATAAATTCACTGATTGGGTTAAGGCTCTCATAACTCAATCATTTCACCTCTAAACCTTCTTGCATTGTCTTACACATAAATTTGTAGGGGACAGCTAAAACACAAACCATAATATTTGTCCCTGATACTCAAAACCTCATGCTTATCTCACAATGCAAAAGTACAAGTCCAAAACCTCCACTGAGACTCAAGGCAAACTCTTTTAAAAAAGTGTGAGCCCCTGTAAAAGTCAAAAACAAGTTGCATATATCCAATATGTACAGGTACCGAGTAAACATTTCCATCTCATAAAGGAGAAATTAGGGCATAGAGAGAAGGAATGGAACTAAAGCAAGACCTAAGTACAGCTAGGCAAACAAACCTTGTAGCTCCATGTCCAGCATGTGGGCACATGGCATCATGATGCTCTCTCCAAAGGGCTGTGTAATTAGTTCTGCCTCTATGGCTTTGCTGATTGCAGCCCATATGGCCTCTCTGTTGGCTTATCTCTGCTTCCTGGTAACTTACTGAGCCACTTTCCTCTACCACACTCTTCCACCATGGTGTTCTGCCTCACCTATTGCCCCAAGGAATGGAACCATCTGTCTATGGACTGACACTTCGGAAATTGTGAACCCCCCCAAAACTTTCCTCTTCAAAAATTGTTCTTGTCAGGTCTTTTTAGTGACAGCAGTGCAAAAGCTGACTAAAACAAGATGGATGGTACAAAACCTGGTGATGTGTTAGATTTGCCTCTGGACATGTGTACTTTCCGTGTCAGGTTGTTCTATTCTAGGTATCATTCCCTAGAACCCAGCTTTTTCCAACATGTGAACCATCTTAAAAGCCCCTTTCATTGCTGCTGAGCACAACGGGCAAGACAACAACAGGTCTGGGTATCAACTGTCTTTCACCAGGAATGTGATTAAAAAGTCATGCACCTTAATGGTTTGATCTACAAACCAGAAAAAGATTGTGGGAATTGAAAAACAATGAAGCATGAAAAGTATTTAGAACACACATAAAGAGAGTTTTTAAAAAGATGTATGCACCAGTTTCAAGGGGTGGACCATATTTAGAGCCTAAGTCAATTAAATAAAACTTAAAGAACACTTGATACATTTTTAATACAATTTTAAATTTGAATTCTTCATGGATATTTGATGATGTGAATGATGTGAAGGAATTAAGTTTTTATATGTTATTATGTTTTCTAGCTATGTTAAGAGAGAAACAGAGTTCCTATTCTTTTAGAGATTATAGGCTAAAAAGTTTCAATATTAAATGAAAAAAATAACCTCTTGCCTTGGGGTAAATTCCTGCAAATCTGGTTGTGACTCAACTCCACTTAGCCTCTGCAGCCTTATTCCTCATAATGTACTTGGTCTAGCCACTCCAAACTCCTTTTACTCCACTAAGTGTGCATTACTCATTCACCCCATGTTTTCACTTCATTGTTTTCTGGGAGTCCTTCTCCATCTCCGTCTTCTGACTGATTTCCATTCATTCATCAGTATTTGGTCCGATGCCCTCTCCTCTGGGAATCTGTCCTGAATCCATCCCCCAGGCTGTGTTAAGCACTATCCACTACATACTGCTAACATTGATTACTTCACTGTGCTGGAATTGTCTATTTTTTCTGTTTCCCCCATGGACAATTTTTTTTGAGATTGATGATTATTTTGTCTCTGAATCTCAAGAATTAGAAACAATGAGTAGTTTCTAGAAAGATGCTAGGAGGCTGAGTCAAGATAGTAGCAGTAGGAATGGAGAGCAGAGGCAAGATTTAGGAGAGCTTGAAATAGAATAGATAGAATTTGCTGCCTGCTTGGATTTGGAAGGACAAGAGAAGTTCCAGATGAGCTTAGAAAGATAGCCAAGATTAAGGATATAAGAGAGTTCACAGGGAGGAGGTAATGCATTTTCATGAACACATTAAGCTTAAAATGTTGTATAAATTGGTTCTGAAAATCTCAGCATTTAGTGGCAAATAGTACAGCATAATTTAGTTTAAAAAAGAAAAAACACCAAATTAAAAGCCAAAAGCTGTAAGTTCCAGTCCCAACTCTATCAGTTACTAGTTTTATGATTTTAAGCAAGTCATTTAACCTCTTTAAGCCAATTTTTTTCTACATAAAAAAGCACTTGATAATTCTTTCTGTTCCTTCCAAAGTAATGTCAGTAGTAGATAATGATTTGTATATAGTAAGTAATAGAAATGATAAACGAAATGTTGAAATTGGAAGGAAAAAAGTAAATGAATCATGTTAAGTACCTTTTTAAAATATTTTTTTTAGTGGTCAATGGATATTTATTATTTATTTATATGTGATGCTGAGAATCCAATCTGGTGCCTCACACATGCTACGCAAGAGCTCTATCACTGAGCTACAACCCCAGCCCTAAGTACCTGTTTTTAATTTTGCATGGATCAGAAAAGGAAGATACAGTAGGTCCTCTTCAAGTTTTAGGATAGGAGAACTGAACACGGCCAAGAAAAACTTTGAGGTACTCTACAAATAAATGGATTTGCTCATGTTTTCTGGTATCTGTGCTGCAGATAAGAAGCCAGCTCTATCCAGAGGAAGAGTTCCACAGCTCTGAGCAGGAAAGAATGAGGAATGAAATCTCTGACTTAACAGAGGAGCTTCATCAGAAGGAGATCACTATAGCAACTGTCATGAAGAAAGCTGCCCTTTTGGAAAGACAGCTAAAGATGGAGTTAGAAATAAAAGAAAAAATGTTAGCAAAGCAACAGGTATGCAAGCAAGAAGAAAGCTCTTTTTCAGGGCACACTCTTGTTCAGTGCTCATGGAGGGCTTTGTTATTGACTCATAAAAGCATTGCATTGCTTGGTATTGTTTCTGGAACTTGGCATCACAGAAATTCTTGTGTTGTCATAGAAATGCTTTGTAGAATCATAAAACCATTGTGAGATAAAGTTTCCTAAAATAAAGAATTAGGGAAATAAGCAACAGTGCAAGGTAATGTCAAATCTCATCCTACCATTTTCTTGTAACCATATTTTGAGCACCTCCCACATATGTGCTAATTAAACTTTTCTTTCTCAGTTGTTTTCTGTATGTCCTGTTCACTAACATTATTATTTTTTAAAAAAAAACTATTCCAGTTTTTCTGGGACATTTCCTACCCATCATTTCATTATAAGAATTCCTTTAGGGTTTTAAAAATGTGTGCTCTAACATGAAAATCAGTTCATATTTACTGAACATTCACTCAATAAATAGCCTAGTGCTTGAGGAAAAACAGCAATAGTACCTCAATACTGAAATATCACAAGTAACTTCTATTCTCTCTCCTTCCCTCTCTGCCAGGCCTGCCTAGCTTTCCTCCTTTCTTCCTATTTATTTTCTAAATTCTCTTAATCTTTTATTCATAATAAAATTGGTAACCTGCTATTGAGTATTTATCTGCCTCTTTTACTCCAAATCTAGATGTTTTCAGAGCACAAACATTTATTGAAAAAAATTCAATAACTTTCTAAGCATACGAAGATCACAAATAGTGTGACTATTAAATCCTGCATATTACAGAAACAGAAGAGACTCAGCCTTTTCCCAATTATAAGCCTTAAACTGTGATTAACATATACAACACACAAGAAAACAGTAACAACAAGATAATAGCATCAGTGGTAGCTGTGTGGGAAAGGAATATTTAAAGCTGGGTATAGTGATCTGGGTAGTTGGATTATGAATGATTCTTACTTTCACTTTTTACTCTTAAATATTTTCTAGATGTTGTCAGTGAGCATATACTTAGTAATTTACAAAAGTAAATCTTTAAAGCAAGTGTTTTATATAGAAATTAGCCCTAAATAAACAAAAGGACAGGTACCATATCCAAGTATTTTCAAGTAGAAAATATCAGGTAAAGAAAAAAAATTAGAAGACAAAATGAAGGAGTCACAAACAAGGAAGGAAACTTGGTAGAAATACCAGAAAGAACAAAATTAAATATGAAAGATATGTGTAACATATTGGAAAACTTAATCAGGTGTTAAAGAAATGTAATAGATGGTATTATTTTAAGTGTGATTTTTAAACTATTTTTGTGGTGATAATTTGTATACAATAGAAAATAGCAATGAGAAATGGAATTTGGGGACTGGAAGGGGGAAAAGTAAATGAATCATTATCATAAGTATGTGCTTTTAATTTATAAGAGGAGGTTACAGTGGGGCTGGCCAAAGATAGAAGAGCTGAATAAGAGTACCCAGTAGATAAACCTAAGCAGAAGTGTTTCTCTTCACTGCAATTAGAAAATATTTCTGTGCATCCTTAATTTTAATAAGATTACAAGTTTTCACTATGAATTTTACATTTCCTTTTATCTACTCATTTTTCAGGTCTCAGATATGAGATATAAAGCTATCAGAACAGAAAACACACATCTAAAAGGAATGATGGGAGATTTAGACCCTGGGCAATATATGGTAATATGCTGAATTCATTCAATAAATTGAACAAGAGTTTACACAGTGAATTTACCCAGATACCGTTTATTGACCACTTGCCATGTATCAGGCATGCAGGAGTTGGAGTGGCAAATTGTCTTGCACTCCAGTTGAATTCACTTTTATCTTCAGGCTGGAACATTTTAATTTCTATTTTTCTCCCTTCTTCTTTCCCTGGATTGAGCTCAATTCTGATAATTTCCCAAAACATGCCAAATATGCTGTTTCCTCGCTTTTGCTCTTGTTGTTGCCTTGAAGTCCTATATCCTACATGCCTGATTTAAGTGTCAACCTTCCCCTCAATGAAGCCACTCCCCAAAACCCAGTTAGAATGAATTATTTCTTCAACATTTGGTTTCTGTTTTGGTCTGACTTGTTTTGTAGCCTGTCACTGGATGACAATCGGGGATCATGTTCTATTGTTTGTATCAGCAGCACCTCACAATATCAGGTGTAGAGTAAGTCTTTGATATATGTTGGTTGAATACAAAGAGGCATGAATAAATGAATGAATGAACTGATGGCTTTACAGGTTTGCACAAGGCAACCTAAGCAGGTTCTGTGTCTCAATTCCATTGTTTAACAGTTGATGGTTGATTTTTATGTGAGAATTTTTAATTCATTGAACTAATATACCAGTGTTCCATGTTTATCATTTACTTACTCTGAGAGAAGTTTTAAAATGATTTTTCTGCCAGTCAAGAATGAAGAGGATAAGATATGAGATTATAATTGCTTAATCTGGCCTCAGTTTCTTCAGTGATAAAGTGAGGGAGTTGGATTAGGCATTCTCCACACTGCCTTCTCAAGCCATGGGTCTATATTTCTGTGATATTCTTGTTCTCAGAATAGGCCATATTCTAGCAGAGTAGAAGCATCTAGAAACATTCTGCCACCTTCTCTGAATATGGTTATAGATCCTGTAATTGGAGTATAAATGGGTGAAAAGTAAAACATGTATGGTTTCCTTATCTGCTACATGAAAAACACTGCTTGTCACCTAAGATGTTTCATTTCTAAACTCTAGCCACACAAAAAATTAAGTAAGGTCCTGGCTCCATGGGTGTATTTTTTTAAATCATAAAATAGTATTTGTATTATTTTGAAGATTCAATCTGAATGTTTTTAGGTGTTTTTTCAAGGTCATCACAGCCCTCTCTGAGGTGCTTCATTCTGGCACCTGTAGGTATTTTGTTTTGTTTATTTATTTGTTTTGAACATTTTTTTAAATAAATAAAACATAGAACATTGTTATGGCTGAGTCCCTGTAGAATACTGTTTTTAAGTACTTTGGATATAAACCGAGGAAAGAGAGAGCTGAGTGGAATGGTGGTTCCATTCCAAGTTTTCCAAGGAATCTCCCTACTGCTTTCAATTTTGGCTGCACCAATTTGCAGTCCCACCAGCAGTGTATGAGTGTACATTTCTCCCCACGTCCTCGACAACACTTATTGTTGTTTGTCTTCATAATAGCTGCCATTCTGACTGGAGTGAGATGATATCTTAGAGTAGTTTTGATTTGCATTTTTCTAATTGCTGGAGATATTGAACATTTTTCATATGTTTGTTGATTAATTGTATATCCTCTTCTGATAAGTGTCTGTTTAGTTCCTTGGCCCATTTATTTATTGGGTTATTTGTTTTTTTGATGTTAAGATTTTTGAGTCCTTTATATATCCTAGAGTTTAGTGCTCTATCTGATGTGCTTGTAGTAAAGATTTGCTCCCATTCTGTAGGCTCTCTATTTACCTCACTGATTGTTTCTTTTGCTAAGAAGAAGCTTTTCAGTTTGAATCTATTCCGATTTATTGATTCTTGGTTTTAATTCTTGTGCTACAGGAGTCTTATTAAGAACATTGGTGCCAAATTCAACATGATGTAGATTAGGGCCTACTGTTTCTTCCATTAGGTGTAAGCAAGGTCTCTGGTTTAATTCCTAGGTCCTTGATCCACTTTGAGTTGAGTATAGCAACACAATTAATAATAGCTAAATTATGGAACCAACCTAGAATACCCTTCCATAGATGAATGGATAGGGAAACATTGGTATATATACACAGTGGAACATTACTCAGCATTAAAAGAGAATAAAATCATGGTATTTGCAGGAAAATGGATGGAGTTGGAGAATATAATGCTAAGTGAAGCAAGCAAATCCCCCAAAAACCAAAGGCCAAATGTTTTCTTTGTTATGAGGATGCTGACTCAAAATGGCGATGGGAGGGGAGCATGGAAGGAATGGAGGAACTTTAGATAGGGCAAAGGGGAGGGAGGGAAAAGGAGGGGGCAGAGGGTAGGAAAGATGGTGGATGTACCCTATGTACATGTATGAAGACACAAATGGTGTGAAAATACTTTGTGTACAGTGACTTGAGAAATTGTGCTCTATATGTGTAATATGAAATGAATTGCATTCTGCCATCATGTATAACAAATTAGAATAAATAATTTAATTTTAAAAAAGAAATAAAACATACAAACAATATATAAAGAAGAAGCTAATTATCTATATCTCTATCCCTAATCCCAACTGGAACTTCAGAGATTATCCAGTACTAACAAAGCAGTGTGTAGTATTCAATCACTTTTCTCTTACACATATAGAAAGGTGAGTTGGGTGTTCTTTTACAGATATAAATATATTATATATGCATTATCTAAAGCTGCCTTTGACTATATACAAAGACATTTAAAAATTTTTTTTTAGTTGTAGATGGACACAATTCATTTATTTACTTATTTTTATGTGTGCTGAGGTTTAAACCTAGTGCCTCACACATGCTAGGCAAGTGCTCTACCACTGAGCCACACAACCCCAGCCCTACATAGACATCTGTAAAAGACAGTAAATATGTTTTCATTTTTCCTAATTTTCTAGGAAAAAATATACTCATGTAAAATACACATAATTTTTATAAACTGATTCATAAGTTACATACTTGTAATTTCAGAAGTAAATTTTGCTTGCTTTAGCCCCTTTCCCTTTCTTTCACTCCTCTACTCACATCATACCCCATTCACCAGTTAAAATATGTTATCATTTTGTACTTTTTCGTGTGTGTGCATGCATGTGTGTGTGTGTATAGTCATGGGCCTATTTATGGATTTTATCATTTTCAAAAATAAGAATTACATACTTCTGTATGTCTTGTTTTTGTTCACTCAACAATAGAACATCATGTTAAATGAAATAAGCCAGACTCAGAAAGTCAAGGGTCATACCTTTTTTCTTCTTTGTGGAAGTTAGAAAGAAAAAAAAAAGGTCTTGGTGGGGAGGATTTGATGAAAAATAGAAGAGACACAAGTAGGGTAGGGAAAGGAGAACAGGAGAATGGAGGAAGGATTGGTAAGGGAGGTACTAGGGAATGAAATTGATCAAAGTATGTTATAGACAAATATGAATGCACCACAATCAAACCCAATATTCTATACAATTATTATGCACTAATAAAAAAAAGTATAACCCTTGGAATCCTTCCAAATAAACTGGCTCAAGTCTTTCATTATTTATATTTTATAATATTCCATGATATAAATGTATCAAAATCTATTAAACATTTTTCATAATAATTTTAACTCTGCTTTCAGTTTTTTGCCTAAGTGAATAATATAAAAATCCATGTATGTGTGTATATGTACATATATATGTATACACACACACACTGCTTGGAATGGTTTCCTAGAACTGGAATTGCTGATTCACAGGATGTATTTTCATTTTAATAGTTGTTATTAAATCATATTTCTAACTTTCTCTCTTTGAACCTTACCAACAATATGTGTTATTGCTCTTTTTAGTTTGTGTCAGTGTTAGGGTTTGGAAATGAGTTCTTCCTCAAAGCTTCTGTTTTGATGCAGAAATATTGAAAGGAAAAATTAGATTATGAGAGTTGTGACCTAATCTCATACAACCTAGTTTTAATGGACTAACTGGGTGATAACTGTAGGTAGGTGGGGTGTGGCTATTGGGGTTGTGTTCTGGAAGGGTTCATCTTCCCTTTAGCCCCTTCCCCTTTCTCTTTCTACTTCTTGCCTGCCATGAGGCGGGAAGCTGCTCTCCACCACACCCTTCTACCATGATGTTCTGCCTCATCTTGAGCCTAGAGCAATGTAGTAGGCTAACCACTGGTTAAACTCCAAAAATTATCTAAAATAAAATTTCCCTCCTCTAAGTAATTGTTGTCAGGTGTATTAGCCACAGGGATAAAAAGCTGACTAACACTGTCAATATGATGGTTATAAGATAATTTCTCAATAGACTTTAATTTTCACTTCTCTGAGAATAGTTGAGCATAGTTTTATTCATTTGTTGGCAATTTGTATTAATATGAATGAGAATATAGTCTTTTCTCATTTTTATTTTGGGTTATTTGTTTTTATTTCTAATTTATAACAGCAATTTTATAAATCTGTTGATTGATTGAAACTTTGCTTATGATATGTTTTTGCCATTATGCAGTTTTAAACTTTTATTTGTCCAAAATTTCTTGCTTTGGAGTTTCTTTTCTTGAACAACAGGGTTTTCCCAACCTCTACATGAATATATAACCTTTTAGAGTTTTTTCAAAGATTTTTATATTTTTTATCCAACTCTTGAATCTATATTTGAGTTAGAATTTTGAATTGATAAAAAATAGCAAAATTTAATTGTTTATATCAACATTAAGTTCAGTTTATCCAGTTGATTCTCATAACTTCCTATTGTATTACATTTGGAATTGAATTAAATTTATATATTAATTTTAAAAGATCTGGCATTTTAATTTTCTTTCTTTCTTTCTTCCTTTTTGGCATGGGGATTGAACCCAGGAGTGATTAACCGCTGAGGCATATCTCTAGTCCTTTATTTATCATCTTTTATTTTGAAATATGGTGTTGCTAAGTTGCTTAGGATCTAAGTTGCTGTGGCTGGTCTCAAACTTGAGATCATCTTGCCTCAGCCTCCCAAGTTGCTGGGATTACAGATGTGTACCACTGTG